GGTTTGATTTTGATAAAATTCGTACCAGCCCGGTCCATGTACACCCCTGTTTGATGGTATTCTTTCCTTACGTCTGTTGTAGATCCTATTTCCATTAAGATAATACTTACCTTGTTTGGACATCAGCCTATTTTCATTCGAATATATTGTTTGCTTTACATCTATACGCGATATTCTTTCAAGTTTTCAGAACGAGTAATTAGATAACAGGAAGGGAAGAAATACTTCGAATAGGAATGACAACCAACTTAAACAAAGACCAGTATTATTTGGTACTCAATTCACTATTTCTTAAACACAATCCACAAATCACTTGAAATTATGTCATATGAATATTGACACAAGTAAAAAAAAAATTTATAAATCTCACTCTTATTCATATGCGGCTTTAACTAAAACAAGTTGATATTGTATCCTATGCTTCCATACAGACATTGCTCGTGTTAATCCAAGGGATTATAAGTCGTCTAAGAAAATTTTGCTTTGAGGGACTTATCTACCATTATCATTTTATCACTCAATCATCACATTATCATCCACCGATACATTTGACTGTTTATAGAAAAACATAACAAAACCGTCTTAAACCGACACCCCTTCGTCGGAAAATTACATTGTTTAACTTGGTAATTATTTTTTAAAATATGTACATATACAATATAATGACACCCCTTGATTTCTTGGGGAGTTTACTTCTTTATATTTTGACTCCCCTTAGGTCTTAAACGATAATCATCCATCGAACATGTCACATATTGATCTCCTGTTAGAGAGATGACAGCACCACAAAGCATTTATTAGATGCCCAAAGGTCAAAAGTCAGATATGCTAACCTACTCATTCATTCACCTAACATGATTGAATTCCAAACAAGACATTGACGATTGCTACAAATGTAAACAAGGAAATTGTCTGTTTTGAGTCTTCACCTTTTTCCACGTTCTGGACTTGGTACCCTTGATGTTTCTCTCAGGGCATACGACATGGATGTTACTACCAATTTTTAATATACATATACATAGGATTAAAACATGTCACGCGTAATTCCAGATGTCTAATCATTCTCTCGGTTTTCTCTGAACAAAATCCATCCTGGCTTAGCCAGGGCATATAATTCTTCACTAGTCATTATATACTTTTGGAACTTATTACTAACAAACAAAGCCTTAATGAAATTTCTGTAAAATGTGAGACAATTAAGTTATAATTACGTGGCAGAACCAACATAATGAGGGAGAGAGGAATAGAGTACGATATTCTGGAGATTGATTTTTACATAGAAGCCAGGAAAGTAATTTCGTCGATATAGGAAAACTGGACCAGAAAGAACATTCCATTCAAAATCTAGCAAAGAATGAATCATACGAAATACTAATCCACATATCATCAAAAAGGTCCCAATATCCCAATACTTAAAGAAAGATAATTGGGTTAAGAGAAAACAAGGAAAACCCAACAGCAGATGTAAAGAATTCAGAGAGGGTCTGAAGGAAACTATGACCAATAACTTGGGAAACATTGTCGCACAGAGAGCATGATTTGGCTCAAAGATAAGAAATCCAATGCCTCACCACCACAAATTTACAACATATAAGCACGTTCATCTATCTTTGGCCTCAGAGATCTACTGCAGAGCAGTTTCCACAGATGAATGTTCAATAGCAGCGAAGTGCAAGACAAGAGTTCAGCAAGGATGGCCTATCAATTATACATCTGTTGCTTTGTATCATTGATAAGCCTGGCTATATATGTGAAGCAAGCAAGGTGATAGATGTAATTCCGAAAATCATTTCAGTTTTTCATTACTAGGAAAGTTGAAAAAGAGTGTAAAGGCTCTTGCTCACTTTTAAGTATAAATTTCAAGACTCAATATCAGCTTTTTGCGATACCTAGAAAATTCTCACCTTCATGAAGCTTTTAACTCTATGCCAGCAACGATGGTAAAGTTCTGCTCTACGATAAGAATGGCATACAACTAACCAAAAGCTGAACTTCACAGGAAAGCTTCCTTATGGAGAACCCGGAACAATACTAGCTTATCAGTATATATATATATATATATATATAAAAAATCATACTAATAATGTCAAGGAAATATTTGGTAGCAGTCATACACAGTCCTTTATTCTCCATGCGCAGCTTCCTATTTCTGGATTTCTCTTTGACAGTTTGATTTTGTTTCTACAATTTTGTCAATCATCATACTTGATTTAGTCTCAATGGCAGATCTAATGGGCTCAGCAGTCATAAACAATGTGTAGCTCCTTTTCAGCAACTCTAGCTTGTTCAGTATATAAAGGAAACTTGTTACTGTTTCCATTCCTTTTACTTGGGGAATCTAAGACATTTCTTTCCCACCATGGTTTTCTCATCTTCTTATTCTGATATAGTTTAAATGCAAACATTTATGGTTACAGTATCTTTCATGTAACTTATTTCTACGTTTTAATTTGGAAAAGAAAACTAATCAATTACTGCTGAATCTAGACCAAGTTGGTCAATTTTAACCACAATACTGAATTAGGCAATTATATTTGGATGAAGATAGTACTACTCATCAACAGATAAGATTATGCTATTCCAGTTGAAAGAAACACCGATGCACTAAATCCAATCTTATAAGATAATAACGGAAACTTCTGAATAACAAGCTTGATGGGATTTAACATCAAGAATATGGCTGAGCACAGCCCCAGGGGCTCAATTTGTTAAGTATAGCATTCAAGTCATTCACATTGATAAAGTAAAGTGTAAGGCGGAAAAGGAAAGGAGTCAAATGTAGGCAGAGAGATTTCTTAGATATGAGGTACCTACAGAACCATCCAGTAGGCACTCCATTAAAATTGTGAAGGATCAAAAAGGGTACGTAATTTTCCAGCATCAAAACGTTCGACCCTCCGCAACTTTTGTGAATTCCGGAAGAGAAGTTCAATACATATTAGTCTGGGCACGAAGCTGTGTTGCTGCAACTCCTTTCGTAACCTTCAGTGAAGATAGGTTTCACATCATTCTTTTTACCCTTTCTTTCCTTTATTTTTGATTTAAGGCCATCCAAGCGCTCTGAAATAAGTGAACATCTGAAAGAGCATTGCCTTCAATCTCATCTGGAGAATCAGATTCGCAACATATTCATGGCAGTAACATAGCCTATGGAGATTCCATTCCGGAAATCAGTGGCAGGGAGCAAAAGAAGAAAGAAAGAAGTTAGATCATGATGGATGAGCCATTGAGATCACATGAAGGAGAATGAGGAGTCGCGGAACCGTACGGATGAAGAAAGTGAGTCGAAAGATACTTTGTCCTGACAAGAGGAATGGCCACATAGGGGGTTTTTTCGGTGGAGAAACAGGCTGTGCTTGATCTAGTTGAGTGGTTGGTATTATATTTTCCTCGTTCCACCCTGCTGAAAGACCATCGGCTTGAGTTTTTTATTTTTCAGTAGATAATAGAACCGTCCCTTTACCCTTCTCCACTTAAATTCCAGGCTTTTGGTCTACAGCGGGTTCAAAGCCATGAGGGTTCAAAGCTGTCACATGCGGCTAACCCATACATCACGCTCTATGCACTTACCACTAAACCAAAGCCTTGGGCCAAGACACTTGGCTTTCTTCCGAAACTCAAGCTTGAAGTCAAACACCTAGTTCTCAAGAGTAGTTAATTCCACTTTGAGTTAGTTTGTGAAATTTGTTACTACAAACAGGTCACCAAAAGCAATATCAAGTTTTTCTAAAGGCATCGAGACCAAATACAATTAACACGTATTGATACTAGAAGCAGTTAAATGATACATCATAAAGGCTAATCAAATCCTCAGCATGTCTTTGCCAGTGGAACTACACCAAGAAGTTCTTTCTGTCAAAAGAAGAAGAGATTGACTAATAGAAAATCAAATAAATAAATATCTGCAGAGAAAATTTAATCTACATAGTTCATTAAAAATGATTTAAAAGAGAGTGTAGTAGCCATCATAATCATTTTTAAAGTCATGATTCTTCAGAGTGTTTATTTTGCTTCTAGTCTAAAGAAACAATTATTTCATAGAGTTTAAAGAAAAGTAACTTCTATATTTCTACTTGAGTAATACTTTATTTTCTACTTGACTAATATCTTTTATCACATAAACAATGAAAAAATGTCTAGTCGCCTCAATATCCAAAATAAATAACTTTAAGTATTTCATTGAAAAAGGGGAGAAGGAACACATGGCCAATAAGAAAGATGTCTACAGTAGGTTTGGGTGTCCCAGCACTTTTTTCATTGCAAGAAGGGTGTGCGCACGAGCATGTGTAGGAATCATGTTGATTGTTCGCTCAGTTATAGGGTATGTTCGAATTCAAGTCTTGACCAAAAAAGTTACGGAATAAGATCTAACTCAGATAATAAAATCTAAGTCCTATAACTAAAACATTATTTTTAAATTGATCATTGTTATTCAATAGCTTCTTACTTGTGTTAAGCTTTAATTGTACTTGTAAATTATTGCCTTAAAAGAAAGATAAGAGAAGGAAAAGGGAATCTTAAATCAAAATAAAGCTAGAGTCTAGAGACTATATAAGTTATCACAAAATTCACAAGACTGACTTTCTTTAATTTTCTTCTTGTCAAAATCAAGAGTGATCAAGATCATAACAAAGGTTTAATCACGTAGCTATGCAAGGCTGAATCTATGATGTATCAAAATCTTTAAAGTAAATATGTTGGGATAGTTTCCTAAACCTGTTCTAATCAACCGTCAAGTGAAGTTTTCACCAGTGGTTTGCCATGATTCGGCAGCAAGACATGAAATCAAAACTTAAACATCTAGATACTAGAGTAAAATCAAGATAAACTAAGGACATTGATAAGGTTGACATACCTCAGAAGTCACCAGAGGTAAATATATTAGGTGTATCCTCCATAATGTATCCACATAAAAAGTCTACCTTTTTTAGCATATGTAAGGTAAAAGTAGAAGTTTTTTATGGACTGATAAGAAAAAGCAAAAGTTTTTTCTGTACTTCTATCTCTAGTTCAATATAATGGACACACGTCCACATTGTCACAACAAAAAAAAAAAAAAATTGGCCACGCGTCCTACTCCAATAACACTTAAATATTTAACTAAACTTTCATAACAAGATATTCGATACATTATCCGTCAAATATTTAGACTGTTAACAAAAACTCTTGAAGAGAAAGGGTTTGACTTCACCAAAATTCAACTAAAGTTGGCCTTCCCTCTAGATTTAGTGTTGATTCTAGCAAATTGAAATTGGGAATTCATAGTAGAAAGATTCTTGAAACTTGATATAGAAATATCATAAGAACAGAAGCTATTTGTAACCAATACATATAAAACTTCGAACATTTAACAAAAGTGTTCATGTAGCTCATAGGTAGGCGAATAAAAAGCCATGTTGATCAACCAGTATTACGTTATTCAAGAACCTCACCTTGAAACCCAGGAAAAAGAAAGCTACATTGATTCATCAACATAAACTTAAAGCTTACATGATTTTCTTGTATAGGTATATTTGTATAGATAATTATTTGCCCCCAATAAAAAATGACTTCAGAAGTAAAAGTACTATAAGCTCCTATACACCAACGAGCAGCAGTAACTCACTAACTCCACAGGGGATTACAATTCCCTATGCATTTTGCAAGCTAACTTACAGAATGGCATTAAATTCTCCCAAAGCTATTCTTCAGATTTTTTAGGTTTGTTCTTGTTACCATATATCAATCCTGTTTCCTGCCAAGTTTCATGAAACGATAAGACTAATATACAATACAGCTCAGACACCGGTTGATGGAAATCAAAAGGCACAGTACCTGTGGATCAGGAATTGGTTTTCGCTTCTCAACATAACGATAAGAATCTGAAGCAGCAGCTAAAGCCACCTTTTCCTGTCACCCCAAAATTTTAACAAAATACTTGTAAATACTAAAATTTGCTAGTTGATTGGAATTGAGGGTTAGTTGATTGATTGACGTGCAAATACTAGTAAAAAAAAAGATAAAATGGAATTTTTTGGGGGGAATTGAAAAAAATATTACCTCTTGTTGTCTCTTGAGTTCCTGAGAGGGCTTGACCCAAAGAAAGTAAGCTAAGGTACCGGCGACAACCCAAGATGCTAAATTGCTTCCACCCCTTAAACCTCCGGTTAAGTTTCCGAAAAAGGATCTAACATTACCCACCGATTTCCTCCAACCAGTTGCCATTTGATTTCCTTTCTCCTTGCAAAATTCAATTTTTTGCCTGATTTCCTGCTCTATAATTCACACTTGTTAGGAATTGAAGTTAACCGGTGTAGCTCAGGCAGAAATCTATCGACAGCTGAAGGGTTTTAACCTTTTCTTTTTATTTTGTACAGTTGAAGGATTTAACTGCAAAAATAGAGGTGAACCGATACTGTCACTGGGAATGTTGCCCTGGGCCTCTGATCGATTGGGTTTGTCAAAATGGATATTTAATGGCCCAATATCTTAGGTGTCTGCTAGCCCATAGAGTAACGGGCTGACTCTTATCAATGTGGTTGGATTTTTACGTAGAAATGACACTAGGTAGCCACTCTAAAGGGTTGCTATTTAGGAATTCATTAGTGCGTCCTTAATTTCAGTTTTTTCGTTTAATTTTTCGGGACAAAAGTGTCTTGAATTATCCTAAAGTTAAGATTTTCGGTTTAAATTTTAGCATCCCTGAAAATGGCTATGTGCGCACATGCCCCGATTTTTATTTATCAGGCTGATCCATTTCATTAACCTTGCTAAGCCCAAGTTAAAGTTCAGCCCAAATGAAATCAATGTGAAAGCTTTCCATGGGATTGAGATTTTGACCTTTGAGTCAAATCACCTGACCAATAGGCAAAACTTCAAGTTTAACGAGTTTGTTTTAACAAGTTTTACCTCATGATCAGAACTTTTGACTTTTGACTGCTCATTAGTCAGATGACCTGCCTCAAAGGCCAAAAATTAAAGACCACTCCTTCTGGTGTCATATTTCTACCATTTTCTGTTATCCATGTGTGGAAACAGCAAGCTAAGTTACCTACACATCCAGAGCAACCCAAGTTTGACAAGTACATTTTTAAGATTAAGTACCAACAGTTTTTTAGAAAAATTCGAAGACCCTAAAACTTCAAACAAACCACCTTAGTTTTGTAATTCTCATTTCATGTCAAGGCTCGAATTCCTCATTCAGTATTATAAAAATTGACTACTAAGTATAAAATACAGTGGAGGATATAATTTTATATTTTTCTCGTTACTTTTTCCATGCAAATCTTTTTCTTTACTCGTACGAATTGATTTTTGTTTACCCGAAAAATGGATAGAGTTGAATTTGTACGTAGTTCTAAGGGTATGTGGTATAACTTGACACAAATCGTAAAGAGTAAAATATCGAATATTGACTATAAGAAAAGATACAAACCGAATTGAAAGGAAGATGATTTATGAACAAGCAAAATGGAATTATGTATGAAGCTAAAAAAAAGGATAATCTCCCAATATGAGAATGTCTCAACAATATTTGAGTTTCAGTGTATTTATCATGTGCCCCTTACAGAAATAATGGACATCCCTCTTATAGTGGAGGATCCTACTTTAAGTATCATAAAAAATACATAATGAAAAACCCATGATAAATCAGTTTTTCCCTAATTTCTGCCGAGATTCTCTCTTTTAGTGCGGCTTTAACGGCTCTTGTTTCTTGGCTCGATCTTGATTGGACTAGGTATTGGTCGGTTTTCAGGTATAGAGCTCGATGCCGACTCGGGACCCGGTGTTGGTTGGTCTCTGGCTCTGAAGCTTAATACCATCGCTTCTCATCATAGCTCGATTTGGACTCGAGCTCGATAATGACGTCGAGCTCGGTATTTAATCGGATCCCGAAACTCGAAGCTCGTTCGTGCTTTTTTCAAATCTCACCTCGATATTAAGAAGACGCTCTTCGATTCGTCTTCACCGATCATGCGAAGGTCGAAAACGGTTTTGACCGTATACAGATAGTCCCCTCGTTTCTCGGGAAGGATGTGGCGAGAAACGATATGATTTCTCAACGGCTCGATTAGATATACACTAACATTTGCATCAAGCCCGACCATGACGTACGTGATAGCTGTCCTGTCGGTTTAGTTTACCAAGGCATTAAATGTGTGTCAGGTGGTGGTCGGACACTGCTGATATTGAACCGTCGTTGCTCAATCTATAAATAGCCCCCTTTTTTTTTTTTTTACCATTTACCACTTTTACGTCTCCAACTTCCAAAATTTTCTAAGTTCTTTATCGTATCTTCTGAGTTCATCTTTAAGTTTGTGATTTTCTGCAAATATATTTCTTCTGTGATTTTCACTGCAAAATCTTTCTTCAAAATACCACATCTCTGTAATCTCCTTCTATTTTCCATCTCTAAATCAAAAATGGCGAAAAATATCAAAAATCATTCCTCAAAAAGAAAAAGCTTATTCTTCACACCCTGCCGTCGACAAAACACTGGTGGAGCCACGACCTGAGGAGTGTGTTCCCGGGGCGTATGTTCTTACCTCCGAATTTAAGATCGACAAAGGCTCGTCGGCTCTCGGTCGATGCGAGCCAGTAACGAGGTATATGTGCTCGATAATCGAGGGGCATCTCGAACAGATAAGGAGAGATTGCAAGTTGGAGAACAAAGAAGTGGTAATCTCGGCTCCCGAGGAAGATATTACTACCCATGTGAAAGGATTTTTAAGTGTGTATACCTACCCTTTCACGTTAGGCCCCCTCGACCCTGTTGTCGTCGATTTTTGCCGTCAATACCGAATAACGCTAGGCCAAATCCATCCTTTTTTTTGGCGGATCGTTATTCTGATCCGCTTCTTTGTGAACAAAATCGAGGGGATGTCTTTTACCCTCGACCATCTTATTAGATTGTACAGCCCCCGCCTCTTTCGAGGTGGGTTAATAAAACTCCATCATCGAGCTACCAAGGTGCTATTCTCGAGCATCAATGAGGACAAGGATCGAGGCTGGATGGGCAGGTTCTTTCGAGTGAAGACTTCGGACCTAATTCCTGCCGAGAAGATGCCATTTCTCGAGGAATGGAACATAAAGCGTAAGTATACTTCTGTTGTTATCTCCTGTTGTTTTGTCCCTTCATTTCTTTCTCACTAATATCCCCTTTTGTGATGCAGTGGTTCCTTGGATGCCCGGTGCAATTCCTAACCTCAAGAGCTGGGTACGAGACCTGGCTTCGATCTCTACATACGCTGAGCGCTCGTGGCGTGACTTGTCAAAGGATCGATGGGAGGCCAAAAATCATGGTAAGCTTTTTTCTCAAGTCTTTGATAGTCCGACCGAAATATTTTTCATATACTTAACTAATTTTCTTGTGTGTAGGCCTAAGCAAAGATGTGGTTTTGGGACCCCCGTCTGGTAAGGAAGAGACGTCGGCCCTGGTCCCGAAACCGGTGAAGGACCATAAGAGGAAAAGGGCCTCTACTTCCGAGGATCCACAACCTAAGACAAGGGAGGCTCGTAAGCCGAGGAAGAATATCATCTTTTTGACCGAAGAGTCGGTTCGGTGTCTAAGGGATGAAGAAGAAGAAGAAGAAGAAGAAGAAGAAGAAGAAGAAGAAGAAGAAGAAGAAGAAAACGACGGCTCTATTCTGGTGACCCGAGCGAAGAAAACCATCGATGCCCCAAAGGTAGCTGGATCGATAGTGGTTTATGAAGCTCCACCTCGAACTGGGGGAATATCGGAGAAAGATTCGGGCAGAGTCCCCGAATCGTTAGAGGTCGAGGATGCCTCTCACCGAATTCAACAAACGGTGGGTATATCTGAAGGGGTCGGCCTTGAACATCTCTGAGCCGAAGAGAACGCCCCAAGCGACTCGCTTGGGACAACAGTAATCGGAGATTCGCCTACTCTCCCCGCTTTTTTCGAAGGGGCGATTCGGGAAGCCCAAGCTTTTGGGACCCTCGAGATAGGGCAGATTCACGAAGGAGAGGACCCCTTCCGTGTTTTGTTTACTAGTGTCGAGGATGTTGCTGGCCCTAGTGATGTGTCGGGCCTTTTCTATGAAGTGCAACAAGCTCTGCATAGGGTAAGCTCTAACTCTCTTCGTTGGTACCACCTTTATGTTTGTTTTTCTTTTCTAACTTCTTTTCTTCTTCCTTCGTAGGCCTCAGTGGTTCATCGAGAAGAATGTTCTCGATCTCGAGCTGAACTGAGTCGATACGAGGCCGGCCTCCGAAGAGTCACTAAAGAGAAAAACGCCCTTAAACTCTTCTGCGGTTAAAGAGAAGAGGAAATCAGGGAGCTCCAAGCCGAGTTGGCCAAGGCTCATTAAGAACAGACTGACCTGACTGAGCAAGTAGTGATAATCTTAAAAACTTATGGGCTCGATTCAGGATCGGAGGCTAATATTTCGATCTTACAACTGCAGCAGAAGGTTGAAATGATTAGGAAGCTTCGTGAGGAGGTTGACACAATAAAGGTGGAGACCATGGGGTTGAAAGAAGGTATGGATCGCCTTTCTGCAGAGAAAGAGGCTGTTCGAGCCCAATTATCATTGGCCGAGAGTCAACTTCAAGGCAGAAGGAGAGGAGCTCGGTTCAAGCAAGAAAAATAGAATAGCTTGAATCTCGGTCGGCTTTCGAACTTACCAAGGATAAATCTGAAGCTGTAAAAGCAAAAGTCGAGGCAGATGCATTCATGGCTATTTATCGGGCCGATGTCGAAGCCGCTCAAGTGCAAGCGAGAGAGGTAGTTGAGACTGCTAAAACTCGATCATACTGGGTTTCTGAACTCGCCAAATGTAAATCTCGTAGGGAGACCCTCGAGGAAATCCATGCTCGAGGTTTTGATCTAACCGAAGAGATTAAAAAAGGCTAAAGAACTTGAAGCCGAAGCTAGAACACTGGCTTCCGATGATGATGATGATGATGATGATGATGATAACGGGGAGGAGCTTGATGGAGAAGAGGCTACTCCCAGAGATAATCAAGAACCTTAGGGTTTTTTGTTTTTGATCTATTTTGTGTAGGGTCCTCATCGAACCTTGTAAATACCCATATATATA